GAGCAGCCGCTGCTAGGGAGGAACTCCTGCACGCAGGTGACCACCGCTCTGGAGAGGTAGGTCATGCTGCCAAATCTGCCGCTCGGAGCGCTGTCGTAGAGCAGCTTGCAAACGCCCGTGGCCGGGTCCTTCTCCAGCATGCTGTCGTCAGCCCCCAGGATTTTCTGGTTTCGGCACAGAAGGAAGAGAGCGTCATGGCTGGGGCCCCTCCCATCCAGTTAGGGAGCAAAGCCACGGCGCGCGTTCCCCGTCGGCTGGGGAGCACGCTCCTTTTGGCTGCGTGTTTGTCTGCCCGTCTGCTTCAGCCCCCGCTGGAGGTCTCCACCCAGGCAGGCGCGCTGGCGTCTGCCTTCTGCCCGCTGGGTTGTGCGGAGACATGCCCCAGAGCCTTTCCTCCCTCCACAGCCACGTGACGCAGCCTGCGTTTCCACCCCAGGCCCGGGAAGCATCAGTGACAGGAGGTCCCAACCTGCTCGTGGTAGAACAGGTCGTTTGCAACGTGCACAATCCTGTCCACAGCCACGAGGCCCCCAATGCTGGGGCTGTCGGCATCCGTCAGCAGCGTCAGGACCAGGATAGCTTCTACAAAGAGCTGCCGGTATTCAGGCTGAGGAACCCTGTTTAGCACGGACTCAACGTGGACTGCAAACTTGATTTCTCCGGGAGTCATCTGTATCCAAAGGAAAGGGAAATGCTCTTTTAGTGAAGCTATGCCTAAACTTTCTAAGAGCAGCAGTAGAGGAGCTGAAGGCTCCTGAGAGCCATGAGGGCACCCGATGAAACGCAAGCGAGGCTCGAGGCAGCCTCCTGGCAGGCCAGCGGTGCAGGCCTCTGCCTCTCGTTGCACGTTAAGAGTGAGTGTCATCCTGGCCTCAAGGAAAATGGTAAAGAAGTCAAAGAAACGATGGGCACACACAGCCAACGTGGAGCCTCCCAGCCCTGAATGCTAAAGGGAAAGAGCTCCTGTTGATAGGGGTGTCTGGGGAAAGCCTTCTGCACCCTGGATCTTGGAGAGCTGAGCTGAGCACAGAGTCCTGGGGGATCCCTCTGGAGATGGCCGGTCTTGAGGATCTCTCCTCTCCAGCCACTCAGCCCGGCCTCTGCAGCTGCTCTTCCCCGGGAAGGCGGTGCAGCCTGGAGCCAGGGAAGAAAACTGTCTGTGCGCACCTCTGGCTGACATACTCCTTTCCTGCTCGGTCCAGCCCCCCAGGGGTGGACCGAGAAGGCCTTTCCCCATCGCTCTTGCTACTTCCCCCTGAGACACTAGGAATATGCTCCCCCAGGCCCTTCTCACGGGATTCTTGTTCTCAGAAAAAAAGTCCAGCTGAGGGTTGAGCAGTGTACCCCACTGCAAAACTCTGTTTGGGCTTTTTGCTGCTCCTGGGAAACCATTCGGTGCCAGAAGGCCTCGCCTTGGATAGCAGGAGTTCAGCTGGAGGAGGGCCATGGGTGGCCATGGAGTAACCCTGCAGGCACAGTCGTTTGGGGAGCAACACCCCTCCTTTAAGGTGAAGGGGACAGCTGCAGCCATTACCTCTCGGGTTGTGGAAGAAGGGAGAACAAAGCCTTCAACGGAGAGCCCATGGCACTGCAGAAGAAAAGCAGAAGAGAACCAATGGCACCCACGGCGAGTCTGGTTCAACAGGCCTTGGCTCTTAAGAGGCCCAGCCCGCAGCCCCAAGCCTGCCAGCTTAGCCTCGGGCCAACTCCTCATTCACTCTCTGGGGCAGCTGATAGCGAGCTGGGAGCCGGGAGTCGCCCACAGGTGCAGGTTGGCTTGGCCTGCTGCGCGATTCCGGGGCTTCTCTTCTCCAGGGCCTCCTTCGCAGCTCCTCCGCTCCTTTCTAGCTTACAGAACAGTACAAACCCTGCCCTTTCCTTGTGGCTTGTGTCACAGAAGAGCGCTTTCACTCCGGTTGCCCAGTGGCTTGGAGATGTGCCACTGGGAGGAGCAGATGGGGGCCGCCTCCAAGGCCACTGCCCACTTACCTTCTGGAGAATCCTCCAGACCTTCTGGTAGAACCCCACTGGGACTCTGTTGAGGGCCCCATCCAGCCGCCGCCTTCGGAGCCACTGGCCCTGGCGCCCATCCTTGGAGGAGGAGTCCTCCGGAGCCAGGGAGCACCTGGGCAACTGCAGAGGAACGAGCCCTGAGCGTCAGGCCCAAGCCCTGAGAAGCCACCTGGAGCCAAGCAGCCCAGGATGGAGGTCTCACCTGGGAAGGGTCCGCTCTGGCTTCCAAGGACTGCAAGGCCCCCACCTGGAAAGAAAGAGGACCAGTTACCACCCTCATAAGGGATGGTAGCAGCCCAGCGAGAGGCTGGCACGAGGGCCGAGTGGGGGCACGCAGCCACGGACGGTCTTTCTGTTAAAAGCAAAGCTGTGAGAAAAATTAGCAGAGGCTCTCCTTCGACAGCCGGCATGGGGCAGGGGAGGGCCTGCGGGCCCTGGGAAGAGGAGCCAAGCAAGTGTGGGCGGTTCCAGCCCCAGGTCGGTGGTCCGAGGGAAGCGCAGGGGCTGCTTGTGAGCAGCCCGCCGTAGGGAGGGTGGCGGGCTGCAGCATGTGTCCCTCGGTTTTGCTCCCTGAAGCAGCGGCAGAGGGCCGGCTTCTCAGGGCATGGATTCCCACTGACTGGTCATTCCTGGGGACGTGCTCCCAAGGAGCCCCTTCTGTGGCTATGGGCGAAGGGGAAAGGTGGAAACCCAGGCTGGTCTTAGAGCCCCCAGGCTGCTTCCACCACCTCAGAAACAGGCTGGGTTCCTCCCCCGGAAAGGGGAGCTGAGCCAAGGAAACGGGGAGGGGTTCTGCTTGTTCTGCCCCCTCCTCGGCTGAGGGGCGGGAAACTTCTGGACACCCCAGGCTGCCCCTGTCCGGTCAAGGTCAGCCTCCTCCTGCCCCCTTGCTCTGCATTTGCAAAACTTGCCCCTCACCCCCAGGCTGACGACTCATCTACAGCTCATGCAGGCTGAGGTGCCTCCTGCAGGAAGGCATGGGAATCAGCCACCTTCGAAAGGAGCAGAGCCGGGGGGGCGGGGTTCACCTTAATCTCAGACAAAGACCGCCTACGTCTATCCAGTTGCTGGAAGAGAAAAGAGCGTTAGATGTGGGGAGGAGGCTGGGCGTACTGCCTCCTGGAGCTCTCCCTGGCACTGCCCCCCCTCAGGAGGAGAAGCCCAGCCCAGTTCCTGGATGGCCGGGGCTCAGTCTGCCCCAGGGTGGGAGGTTACTAGGGGAGTCAGCTCGAAAGGGAAGCCCCTCTGCCAGCCACATCTAATCCCCCCCACCTTTTCTGCACCTGCAGCAGCGCCACCCCCGTGCACGGGAAGGAGGCCCCATCCAGCTGGGGCTCAGCAGAGCAACCATCTGCCAGGATGGAGAAAGCTGCGGCTTCTCTCAGAGGGGGCAATTTCCCTTTGCCGATGACGGTAGAATGCCTGCTTACCCTGCCCAAATGGCAGGCCTCCGGCCTCTGAAATCACCCTCCCCTTCCCCTTCATCCTGGGCAGGGCCAGGCAGAAGCAGCCCACCTGCTTGATCTCGCTCTTGAGCCTGACGATGCCAGCGCGCTCCGACTTCGTTGCTCCCACGGCCCCGATCTCACGGATGGAAACCGCTGGGGTCAGAGTGGGATCCGTGGCCCGCACTGCAGGAGAGGGAGACGCACGGCTGGAACGTCGGGCCCCAAGACTGCCAGCCTGGGTCCCCCTGAGCTCCAGCAGGTGGGTTCAGATAGCTGGGACTGCAAGTCCCAGAATTCCAAGCTGGCTTGGCTGCTGCAGGCTTTCCTTACATCATTTGGGCTTGCTCTCATACCATGCCCAGAGGACCCCTCCCAGCCCCTCCTGATGCAGGCAGCTCACCGCTCCTCTCCACCCCGAATTCTTTGCCACTGAGAATGTGGTGGAGGAGGTTCTTCATATGGGAAGGACTGAGATTCATCAGGCTTTCGGCGGCTTCTTCGTCTACAGCCGAGGGAAGAGTAAAGGAGGTGGTTGTGGGGTGGCTCCCCCTGCCCTGGTTGGATCAGCGCCAACCCGAGGTTTCTCCCTGCCCCAGCCCACCCTAAGGGCCCCTCTCTGCAATCCTTCCACTCTGCTCAGAGCCACTGATGGTTTCAGACCCAGAGGGTTTCATCTGACAGGCCGGCTGGCACAGTGGCACCAGCGCTGGTCCTACTCACCTGAGCAGCAGAGCGACTGGGCCAGCTCCATCGCCATCACTTGAATGATGAGCCCAATGCGCAGGCGGAACATCTCAGCAAACAGGGCGGGCTGTGTCCGGATGTACATGGCCAGGTACACCATGATTTCCTGTCCGGAGAGAGGAAGGAGCCAGCCCTTCACAGATCGGCCTCTGCACCGCCACCAGAGAAAAGCCGGATCAGGGCTTACCTGCGTCAGGATGAAGAGGTTCATGTTGTTCTCACTGGCCTCGTCGATCAGGTGGGTGAGCTCCTCGTATGGCAGGGGACTGTGAAGGCAGCAGGACTGGGAGTCGGGGCATATCGAGAGCACCACAGAGGACCAAACCCAACTTCCTGACTGCTACGGCGACAGCTCTGTAGCCAAAGGGCGGGAGGTGCTCCCTTGGACATGCCCACAGCTGAGCAACCCAACTCCCATCCTGTTTTTCCTTTCCTGCATCTGATTTTGCATCTCTCTTGAATGGCTCTGAAGAAGTATCAGGTCGTGCAGTTTACACCCAGCCAGGTGATGGAGATCCCTTTGGGGCAAGGAGGCTGGATTAGCCCACGTTTTTGGACAGGTTAACGTACCCAGGGGACTTGGCAGGGGGCTGCAGTTTCTGGTTGGCACACACTTATTTTAGTCTCTTCCTGGGAAGGTCTCGGGGTGAGACAAGCTTGGGGAGAACTGCCCACTGCCAACTGCCATGGGCGTTTCTGCTGCCTGTTGCCCATGTGGGCAAACTAGCTAGAGCCTCCAATTAAGCTGGGGACTCACGCAGAGATGGTCTTCTCTCGAGGCTCTGGGGGCAGCCCCACGGTCAGGTGCTTCTGATGCGACAAGAGGTCCGTGCAGGCCTAGAGGGAGAAGCCTGTCAAACTGGCGAGGGGGAGAAGATACCCTCGTCCTCAGCATCATACAGGGCTGGCCTCGGGAAGAGGGGCAGCCAAAGAAGCCCGCCAGCCCCCAGGCCAAGGTCCAATACCTCATCCAGGGCCTCCACCTTCTTCTTCAGGATCCCAGAGATGTAGCGGATCAGGGCCCATTGGCAAGTCGCCCCAACTTTGCCATAGAGCTCCACAAGGAGGCCCTTGACGGTGGCCCCACTGTTGCCGTGGATCTCAGTGTCCCAGTCTGGCCCCCTGAAAGCAGAATGAAGTCGGTTGGATAAAGGGGCCACCCAGGCGCCTCCTGCCAGCAGGCCAGCAGCGGGCACCCAGCTTGCCAGAGCAAGCAGCCTGCTCTGAAAGCAGCGAGGAGACCAACGGAACTGGCACCCAGTATTGCCGTAACACCCCACCTTCCCAGGCGTGCAGGCTGCTGGGAAATGGGCTTCCTTCTGAGGAGCCCCCGAGCCTCCGTTCTCCTTTTGCTGCAAGTCCTTGCAGGAGCAGTGCACAGATTTCCCAGCAGCCCCCCCTGCAAGAGGCTCCTTTGGCAGCAGCCTTTGCTGCAGTTGCCAACAGAGGCTGGGTTTTGCAAATGCTGTGGGAAGAGTTTTCCAGGGGGCAAATCTCCCTCCCTCCGTGGGGCTGCAAGTGAAAAGCAAGGGAAGGGCTCAGCCTGGGCTCCTACTTGAGGGTGTGGAGGACGTGGAGACAGCTGGCCTGGTCCTGCAACGTCTGACACTCGCGGAGCTGGTCCACCAAGGCCTGGCAGTCCACCTTCCCGCTCACGTCCTTGGGGAAACTCACCTTGCCCGGGATGATGGGCAGCTGTGGAGGAAAGGCAATGGGGGGTGTGGGGGAAGATGCTTCTTTGATCAGATCCCTGGAGTTTACAAGAAAAGCTGCCACTTCAAGCTGCACTGGGCAAGATGCCCCGAAACCAGGGAAGGGGACAGAGAGATGCAGCCGCTTTATGTCCAGAGGAGGAGAAAAAGGTTGCAAAAGGCCCCCAGGGCACCAAGTCCTCCGCTGCAAGACTTGCCAGCAAGTGAGAGAGGGGAGAGCTTCAGAAGGGTCCTGGCAGACATGCTGCGGGTCAAGAAGTCCCCGCCCCCTTTGCTCTGGGCCGTGGAAGCGGCTCAAGGAGATGGGACGCCGTTCCAGAACCTCACCTGGGTCTCCCGATTTGGGGCTGAGCTTAACAAGTGAGCAGACGGCTGATCCTCCAGGACAAGCTTGGAGGGTAAGTACAGGTTGAGGTCTGCAACAGAGACAGAGGAAAATGCTCTCACTCTTAGGGGTGTGGCGTGGGCACCTGCTTGCTAGGTGGAGTGGCTAGCCAGCAAAGCTCTGAAGAAAGGTCTCGGGGGGGGGGGCGGGCAGAGAACCTTCCCCATCGTCTCAGCGCACTCTCCATTATTATGATTAACGGTAGACGCTCACTCTCCACGTGCAGGTCCTTTGCCTTCGACATCAGGGACAGCAGGTCCTGCGTGCTGTGGACTGCAGCACGGAAGCGAGACAGCCCCCCCTTCTGATCTGGGGGTGGGAGGCTGACTTTGGGGGTGGAGTGCTGCAGGAGTTGGTCTAAGTACTGGGCAACGTCGTCGCAGAGGGCAGCTGGAAGAAGAGAAGCCGCAGGGGAGAAGGCCTTAGGTCACGTGGGCTTCTGGGAGACCAGCCAGGTGAGCAGAACCACCTACCCCAGAGGGCTCCTGGACTGACCCAAAGGGCTCTCCCCCACTGACAGCACCAGTGGGGGTACAAGCCAAGGGGCCACTGGGGAGTCCCCTGGGCTGGTTTTAACAGCAACGTGTCAAGATGAGCCCCCATTGCTGGCCCTGCAAGGTGGCATCAGCCTGATGGTGCCAGCCAGGCAAGTCCTTCATAGAGTGAGGGACAGCAGCGTCTCGTGCCCTGTTTTGAAGATAGCACAAACAGCCGCAGATGACCCCTTCCACATTCCTGGGGCCACCAGCTGGTACCGCTGGCCAGCAAACAGCAGCAAAACCATTCCCAACATGGAAAACATCTTGCCACCCCTCCAAGCTTTATTGCCAGATCAGCCCCATCCTTCCTGGCCCTCTGAAAGAAGCCCGACCCCAACCAATCTCCCTGTCCGAGGAGATCCTCTCCCACAACCTGTAGGCTGAGACCGTCTGAGCGATGCTCGCATCCTTCTCCGAGGATACTTGCTGATCCACCGCCATGCAGGGCCCCATCACACAACCTCACGCATGCAGCAACCCAGAAGGTGAAGCATTTACCCCCATTGCAAACATGCAGCATCCATGCCAGTATTCAGAGGTGGTATGGAGGGGGTGACCACAAGCTGATTATAGACGTTATGGTGGGATGATGAGTCAGAGGAGTGGAGAGGAAAGGAAGAGAAGGCTGTTGGTGACAGCAGGGGAAGCCGACAGAGATCTCTGGGGAGAGCTCTGGAGGGGGAATGGGTGCTAGGAGGTGACACCAAGCACCCCTCTCCTGTACTGGAGCTTACGGTATGCCTGCTTCCCCACCTGGCTTAGGAGCAACAAAGTCACGACAGCATCGCTCTTGCTGTCAGTTCTGAGCTGCACTTCGGTCAGGTCGAGAGCGGCCTCCTGGGATGACCAGCAAGTCCTTCCGCCTAACAACCTGCCTCAGGGCAACCTGTCAGCGTGGCTGGCTGTCGCCTCTTCTGTTCCACCCCAGGGAGGCCTGCAGAACTCTGCCACCATTTTCACAGAGACACGCTGCCTCGTTTGCAAAAACGCAACGCATCTCTCCCAGAGGAGCAGGAAGGGAGCCAAAGCCCCCCCCTGTCGAGCCCACGTTCAGCATGTGCTAGTCCTCTCGGGGCTCCTCAGCGTGTGCGTTGGGGGGGCAGTCTTGAGGTTTGTCATGAATCCCTTGCTGGAAACCCTCTTCCCCCTCTCCCTTTTGGCCTTGCTCCCAGGCTGGCCCCTCGGAGTTGCTCTGCGGGACCGTGAAATGGAGGCTTCCCACCAGAGCCAGGATTACAGCAGCTGCTCTGGGCAGCGAGCTGCTCTCCAGCATGTGAAAATGGAGCCCCTGCCCAAGAGGGACGGGCATACTTCCCGTCTTGCAAAGAGCAGATTAGAAGGATGTGATGGGTTAATTACAGTGGGCTGAACACCATGAGTTACGCACCAGCTAGAAGGTTGTGGTGTTACTGTCTGGATTAAGAAATCCGGCATTCCTGACCACAGCACACCCGAAGTGCAGGAAGAGGGGGTGGCCCCATCTCCTTACCATCCTCTGCCACCTGAAAGCCATGCATCCAGTCCTCGGGGTCTAAATCTCTGAAGCTCCCAAGGCTCAGCCCGTAGGCATCGGCGTAAGGCTTACCCTCGGGCCCGGCATCCATGAAGCTGAGGTGGGTGCGGCACGAAGTGGTGAGGAAGTCAGGCAACCTACCGGTCTGGATCCTGCAGGAACCCAGAAGCAGAGGGGGAGGAACGGGCATGGAAAGAGCCCTCCTCTCAACCAATCCCCTTGCCCAGAAGGGGCAATATCCCCTCCTCCCAAGTGGGCACCGTTTCACTCATGATCACACAGCCCACGTTTCCCACGGCCCCTTCTGTACCGTCTGGGAGGACCAGAACCACCCCCCGCAGGAAGAAGCACCTCAGCTCACCTTGCCCCTCCAAAATACCCATCCTGCAACTTCCGCAGCGTGGCCAAGATAGCTGGGTGGAGGTTGGCCCCTGTTTCATCTTTTCAAAAGGAGAAAAAGCAACCCAGGTGTTGGCAGCTCTTCAGAGGAAGACACACGAGCAGGCAAAGCAGCCACCTCTCAAAAGCCCAGCCCTTCACCGTGCAAGCAACACACCAAGCATGGTCTGCGAGATGGGGAAAGTGATGGTCGGGCGCCCTGTCATGCCCCAGCGGCTGCACAGGTAGGAGAGGTCTGTCCGCAGCATCTCCACAATCATCTGGTTGTCCAGCGCCAGGTAGAACTGCTGTTGGTCAACGAACTGCAAAGGCAGGGAGGATGGATGGCCAGTAAGAGGAGAACTCTGGAGGCAGGGGGAGGGGGAGATGGAGGCCCCCAAGGAGCCAAGAATGTCGGAAGTGCTCTGGTTCGTCCCAGGAGAAAAAGTGGGGTTACGCGTGTGGAGAAAAAGGAGGAACTGCCAGGCTGGGTAGATTTCTTGAGCCAGCCCCTCCCCGCTGAAGAACACACTAACAAGCAACCCCCCCTTCTGCCACATACACCCCACAAGGTTCTCCGATGCTCTGGGAGGTGGCTTCCCGCAGGCTTCTGCTGCTGCCCCCAACTCCAAGGGAGCATGGCCCTGTGCTTCCCCCTCCTCACCAACCTGGGGAGTGAAAGCAAAGATGCTGTTCCTGATGTCGTAGAACTTGGAAGTCCCAAGGACACCCATGTGCCTGAAAGGACGCCCGCTGAGGTTCATGTGCTTGTTGCGGCCTGCCAGGAGATGGGATAACTGGGTCAGTGGCAGAAGCCAGGCCTCCTCCCCCCACGCCTTTGATCCCAGTGGGCGAGTCGCATCTGCAGCTGATCAAGGCCCTCCATCCAGCCAGAGAGGCAGGTTACAGACTCAGAGGCCAGGGGCTGCTGGGGCAGGATGCCAGCCGAGGGGCCCCGTGGAGAATCCTGAGGCTCCCGGGAGAAAGCTGGGCGGCAATACAGCCCCCCCGCCCCCACCGCCACAACCCCCACGAAGGCTCCCGGGGACAGCCAGGTGGGGGGTCTCTCAAAGCTTCCCGTAGGCTCACCCAGGCGGGCGTAGATGTAGCTGAGAATCCTGGCTGGCTGTATTCGGATGGGGTAGACTTCGGCCACGGTCTCCACCATGATGCCCTCCTTGCGCAGGATGGCCTGGATGGCCTCTGTCTCTGCCAGGAGGCACACTGGCAGGGAGAAAGGAAGGCAGAGTCAGGGCCGGCCTGTGGGGCTTGGAGGGCCCTGTGCCCCAGGAGGACCCGGCAGCTGGCAGGAGGGGCAGGCTGACTGCCCCACACCAGGCCAGGAGTGGGTGGAGGGGCTGGCCCAAGGCACGTGCTTCCCAGACCACTGAGCACACCTCCAGGGGATTAGCCACCCGCGTCCACCTCTACCGCGTGGGAAAGTCCGTTACAGTGCAACACAGAATCCCGTATCTTACCCTGCACCACCACAACAGGCTTGGGAATGGTTGAAAACCTGCGGTTGAGAGGGTCGATTTCTCCTGGAGCCAGGAATCCCTGCAAGCAGAGGCGGGTGCTCAGAAGAGGCACGCAGATGAATTAGGCCAAGGGCCTACCTTTCCCCCCAGGGTCTGCCAGGTCTCCCTTGGGAGGACCACCAGCAAGACACGGAGGAAAAGCCTGCTCCTGCTATTTCACTCATGGGTAGAGGTATACTGCTACTGAAGGTGGAGGTTTCATGGCACTTATGGGTCACGGTAGCCTTGGGTGGTAGATTGTATCCAGATCCAGTGATGGCAACTCCCCTCCCCCCACCCCCGAACCACTGCACTGAGAAAGCCTCGCTGGGATGCAGGCAAAATGCCTGCAAAAACCCTGCTTAATATCTGGTATTGATCTGAAGCCCAGAGAAGCCAGCCACGAGGTATGTACAGCAAGCCTGTATGCACGGTGGCTGCCCCTATTCCAGGAAATCCATGTGGTGTTCCTTTTGACCTTCTGCCAATGGCTTTGCTTGCTAACTCCTAGTTTAGGAGATGGGGAGTCTCCAACCCAGCTTGCATCGCATTCAGACTCGAAAGCCCCCCGGTTCCAGGGCAAGCAGGCTGGCTTGCGCTGACCTGGGCTTCTCTGGGGAGGGAGGGCGGAGGTGTCCCTTGCCACCCGCTGGCCCCCACACGAGAGCGCCAGGTGACTCCAAGGTAGTTGGCGGGCAAGGACAGGGCTGAAGCTCACCTCTGCCATGAGGCAGCCCAGGATGTAGAGGGACTGGCCCCACATCAGGGGCAGCTTGCCCAGGGGTAGGCGGTCCACGGTGTGGGGGTGGCTACATTCCTCCTCAATCTGCAGGGACAGACCAAGAAAGGCTGGTGTTGGAGAACTGGAAAAGGCCAGGAGCTGCAGATTAGCTACACTCTGCATTAATTACATAAAGATGGCTGAATTGACACCATTAAGGAAAATGCAAACGCCAGCCAATTGAGGTGCGGGAGAGTGCGCACAGGTGCTCAGGGATTGCCAATAGCCCTGAAAAGATATTAAAGGAAGCTTCCAAAACAGTTTAGATGCTTTCGAAGAAGCGCCCGGTTCAAATTCCTTAAGACAGTTTTGTTGGGGCTGGTGAGTGTAAGGATATTCTGTAAATGCTGAGTCCAGGTCTGGCCCTAGATGCCAATGTTTGACTGTCTCGCCTCCGTAGGAATCTCCGGAGGCAGGCAGGCAGGCAGGCAGGCATCTCTTCTCGGGCACCAGGGCTTCCTTTTTTCCAGCCATGCCCAGTTTTCTGACCTTCTCCAGCGGGACGCTGTAGAGCTCTGGCACCAACCGCACACCATTCTTCCCCTTGATCAGGACCCCTTCGAGAGCTTCCCGGTACTCTTGAACCTGAAAAGCAGGAGGGATTGTCAACGGGGCCGTTCTGGCCCACGAGGGCAAGAGATGTGCCCTCTCCGCCCCACCCCGTAAGAATTTCCCAGGACGGTTTGCATTCTGCTCCTTCATCGGGACCCAGGCTAGTGCGGCTCCAGAGCTCCTTGCTGGCTCCACTGCTCCAGCCCAGGCGCTCCGTGGCCGTGGCTTCCCGGCTCCACCTGCTCCATGTTGCCACTGAAGAGGCCGTCGATGATCAGGTAGGTCCAGAAGAGCGGCCACTCGCACTCGATGTTCTCAAAGAGCTTCAGCTCCGCAGGCTCGTAGTAAAGGCGGCTGGGGTCCTGCAAGGGGACGGCAGAGGGGCGCTAGAGGAACCACAGGGAAGCACGGGCACTCGCTTCCTTTGTCAAAGATGCCCATACGCGCAAAGGGCAGAGCTGCTTAACAACAGATGAGCCTTCGCACAAAAAGCTGCACAGGACCCAAACACTGACCGAAGTCCAGCTCCTCCTCTTTTTTTCAGCGTATGTCTGATCCCAAAACAAAGCAATTTTCTCCTAGCCTGTCCTAAATAAAACGTCGCTGCTGCTTAGCCAGGGACAAAGCCACTGCTCACTGCTCAGTGAAGAACAGGTCAGCTTCAGGACTGCAGGCCCACCCTGTTCAGCCCTCTGACGCGCAGCAGCTTTGCTTCTGTCGCATGCAGCTTCTACTCTAAAAACACGAAGACAGATTAAGATGGGTCCAATGCCGCCTGGGGCCTGGCAAGGCACACTGGAACTTACTTCTTTGGGGGTTCTGTAGCCGTCCCGGAGAAACCGGCAGCAACCATAACGGCCCTGAGAACGAGACCGGACACGTCAAGTCTCAGAAACCGGTGGGAGCAGCTGCTTCATCTGCAGCTGGGCTGCCCCCGTCGCCACAGCCACGCAGCAAAGGGCCAAAGCGCCTGCCTGCAGCTTGACGATGATCTCCTCCTTGGTCTTCTCCACCACTTCCGTGTCCTCCACAGCAAACGCCGGGTAGGAAATGACCGAGAGGAGGCTGGCATCGATCTCCTTGGAGGTGGAGGCCCGCGGCAGCATCGAGCGGAGAATAGACTGCCGAGACAGACCCATAAGACGTTGCTGGAAGCCAGGCTGGCAGGCTGGTGGGGACAGCACTTCGGGGCGACTGGCAATACCCGGATGCTTGGGGCTGCAGCACAGGACTGCAGCTTTCCACCCATCCCGTGCAGACGCAGACTGGGGGCCTGGCATGCTGGCCCTTTGCTGTGCCAGACAGCGGCCGAGAGGGCACCTGAAGCAGGAGCCTCTGTCAATCTGCTGCCCCTCTCTCCCCATCCCCCTTGACCCAAGGCAAGAGAGAGCCTCCTGGAGCCCAAAGTTCAGCCCCCCGCTCACCTGGCAGTGCTGCACCTCATCCGGCAAGACATGGATCACTGACTGGGGGCTCCCTTTGGCGCCAAAGAGGTCAAGTTCATCCAAGGCCTCCAGAGCTGCCTAGAAGCGTTTGGAGAGAATATACAGCTGGCAAGCCGGGCAGAATTCCTACTCGCAGTCCCTGTCATTTCTGGCACACCGAGAGATTTAGGAAAGGAATGCCAGTCGCTGAAGGAACCCCTCTTTGCAGAGGCAGCAGAACTCAAGAATGCGATGCTGGGGACAAGCACCGTCTGCTCTCAGAATCCTATAGTTCCCCCAGATTGGAAACAGCATTTGGGACCAGACAGGTTTTGGGGAGCCTATTCTCCACCCACTGGATCATGAAAAGTTGCCCCAACAGCCTCCATGCCATGCCTACTGGGCTCGCTGCCTGCTCCTCTAGAACCGGTTCCAGGCCCTCCAGCAGCCCAGGGGGTGCCCTCACCTTTGCCATGCCCACCGAGCTGGCATTCAGCTCCGTAATCCCTTGGTTTGTCTTGTCGCCACGTTCCCATATCCCAAAGTCCTGCCAAACAACATTGATACATTGGTGATGCCGGAAGGACGCAGAGGGTCATTTCTCTGGTGAGGACCACCGGTTCAGCCACCGCAGCAGGCACCAGAGCGAAGCTGCGCTAGGGAGGCAGCGCTGGCCTCCCCGTCAAGGCGGTCGCTGTTGCGCTTCTCTGCCCCCTCTCAGGCTAAAAGCGGACACCAAGCCAGGCTGCCAAATTGTGCCATGCCCGGCTTGGACTCCCCCGAGAAAGCCACGGATGCGGCAGCAACAAGAAAAACAGCTGCTGACACCTCCTCTGCAAGGCCAGCCAGGCTCTCAGCCCACCACAGCACCCGCCTGCAGGGACCCTGGCAAAGCTGCCATCCTTTTCCAACAGGGCCGGGAGCTTTCCTCACATCGCCTTCGTTGGGCTGATCCAGACCCCCCAACTCAGGAGATGCTCTCTGACCTAGGATGCTCAGAAGCTCTTGCCGAGCAATCCGAGCTCCCTAGATTTGCCACTAAGCTTGTCCCTGGAAGTGTGGCTGCCCACAGCTCTCTCCCCTCAAAGAGGCGCCAGCTCCCCACAGCACCGAGCCAGACCCACTCACTGCAGTCTTGTACGCGGCTTCAATGTAGAAGACAAGGTTTTGGATGAAGCTGACTTCATCCAGGCTGTGGATGATGTGAAGCCCTGGAAGAGAGGGAAAGCTGAGGACAGAGCCGGGGCCCGCTTCCTCCTAGGTGCTGGCAGGCAGCGGCCCTGCCCAGCTACAGACCCCCCTGCCAGCCCTGAAGAGAAGAGCGTCCCCCCGGGAGCCACCGATGGACCTACCTGAGGCCGTCATCTGGGCCAGCATAAGCAGGTAGAGGGAGGTGGCATCCAGCTGCAGGTGGCCCCACTGGTCGTCTCCCACCACGGTGGCACAGGTGCAGGTGTTGTACTTGGCATGCAAGCAGTCCTTGGGGCTCTGGCTGTACTTGAAGTCCTCCACTTTGTCCACCTGGACAAAGAGCACATGGCCAAGGGGATCGGCTGCCCTGGGGTTTGGTGGGCTCTGTGCGGTCGCAGCCTGGCAGGCAGGCCAAAAGCTTCCATGGCCAAAGTCAGCAAGCAGGCCTGGCAAGCCGGCTTGTGGTCTCTGGAGGGCAAGCAACGGGCCCGGCGGGAGCACAGGGTCCCATCTTTGCCCACTGTGCCAGGAAGACGCTGGTGTCAGAAGTGGCACGGCCCCTACCAGCCAGCCAGAGGGCAGGCCCAGGCCTGGGGGGAGGACTGCAGCATTTACCTGCCTCATCATGCACTGCAGGAGGCCCCTCATCAGCTTCACCACGCTCTGCAGGAGGGGGAAAGGAGAGAGCGGCCGTTGCAGGCATTCCAGTGGGCAGCAGGACGCCTTGCTGAGCAAGAGCCGATGTGGCCTTTCCAAGGCCCCAGCGTGTAACCAAACCCGGGCTCATCTGCTCCATGTTGTTTACTTGCTGAGGCAGCCTGGCGTATAAATGCCCCAGGCTCTGTGCAAACCCATCCCCTACACCTTTGGCTCGCTATTAGGGGGCAGTGCCAACGACTGCCCTCCCCCGTCTATATTCCGTCTTGCCATCACAAATAGCCCCTAAAAGACCGAGCACTTGGACTGTGGGATCGGGTTCGCGGTGTTTGATTCCAGCCAGCTGGCAACTAAAATCGCAACCACTTTGCCCCCAAGATGGCAGAGGAACAACCACGGAATTAATGTGGCAGAGCAGCCACCCCTATCCCCAAGCCCAGGTGAGGACCGGCCAGAACCCCCAGTGGGTAGTCCTGGCCTGGAGATCCAGGATCCAGTTTTACCAGCTTGACCTTTGCAAATGAGAGATCGGATTACTGGGGTCACTGCAGGGCATTCCTGTGCAAGGAAGGAGGCCTGCTTGGTCTGGGGACTCCCTCTCTTTACTCCAGTGTAGTGGTTCAACCGTGCCCAGTTGCTCCCAGGAAGCTCTTCAGAAGGAGAGACCTCTTCCAGACCAGCCTCACGCCCTCCTGAGTGGTTCCCTGGGGCAAAGGGGCAGTGCCACAGCTCTTGCCCTCGGAACAGGCACAAAGAAAGGAAGCAGCTGTCCCAAACCACACCTGTTTAAACCTCCCACACAGGGAGAAACGTACAAGGGGGTGCTGAGAAAGCGAAATCCCACAAGCCTGCCCAAATGACCTTTCCAATCTATCAACGGTGGGGGTTTTGGCACGGAGGCGCTGCTCTGGATGCGGCCAGTGACAGAGGAGGAGGGGGTCTTGCAAGGGGCAGCCTGCCGGCCACACCGCTCCCCGACCCCGTTGTGGCCTGTACCTGCTCCAGCTCGTACGCTTTGGCCTTGTCCTCGTCACGGTCAGCGTTCTTCCGGTAGGCCAGCCCCAGCCCCCACACGGCCAGGATGCTGTAGACGTTATCGCGGACCCAGGCATCTTGGTGGTCACAGCTGGCTGGAAGCAGCCCTGTAATGGGATTCTGGGGCCAAAAGCGGCGGGGGGGAGAGAGGCACCGTGGCTCGAAAAGAAAGTGTCAGATGGGCCAGAGACTGGCACAAGCAGTGGCAATTACAGCGTGCTGACCCATTTCTGACACCCCACCTCCTACAGGCAGCTGGGTCCTTGTGATCTTGGGCCATGGCCTGATCCACAGCAGCGCCTGGGGAGCACGCAGGCCTCAGATCACCAAAGGCAGATTGCAGGTGCCCCAAAGGGGACCTTGATTTCCACCCTGCAGACCGAGGGGGCTGTCCGGATTCTCCTGTGGATAGAGCTGGCCAAGCAAGCCTCCTCGGGACCGCCCAAAGAGAGCAGGCTCAGAAGCTGCTCCTGGGTGATATCTAGAGAGAGATACAAGTAAAGGGGGGGGGGATTCTGGACCCGCCAGAGCTTGCTCAGAGTAACCCCACCCTTTCAAACACTTTTGCACTTTCTGCCAACAGGGCCCGCTTGCAAACGACCATTCCACTGGACTTCCCACCTTTGCAAGGCAGGCCTCTCTGGCCCACCTGCACGAGTCCTGCTGACTGACCCGCGGCTGAAGACTCTCGGCTGAGACCCTTGCTTGCTTCCTCCCTTCCCAGGGCTGGAGCCTGGCTCAGCCACTTGTCAGAACATACAGGTCTCCTGGCTGTAAACAGCCTCTTGGCATCTCTTCTGGGAATGCCCTGCCAGCCCCCTTCCCTTGTGTTCTGGGGAGCAGGGAAGCCTGGCACCGCTCACCTGGCGCCCTTCCGTTCTGCCATTCCTGAGATCAGAACCGTCTCTGGCCCCTCTTCCTCCCTGGAGCTGAGAGCACCATGGAAAGGAGGTCCTTTTGAAGAGACCCCCAGCAGGGCCCCCTTCCCCTGATACTTTATTTCATCTGTCTCACTATCAGATTCATGTACCACCCTAATCGTCTGGCAGTCCACAACATCCAACCATGGCACAAATAGAACCTCACAGTAAGAAATAGACCCCTGGCATGAAGCCAAACAGGGATGGGCATTAATAGGAAACTAAAACCTGCACTCGGTCACCTCTTTGATCTCCAGGGCTCTCTGGAAGAGCTCTGAGCCTTCACCAGTTTGGGGGCTGTTCCAAGAGGAGGTATCTGAAAAGGGCCCCTCTGAGCTTCGCCCCTCCCCGAGTGGGCAGCCCCCACCTGCTTGTCCGCAAAGAACATACAGATGGTGAACTCCGTGGAAGCAGACGGTTCTGCCGGGGACTAGGACGGCCTACGTAATTCCCCCAGCCGGGTTAAGCGCTCCTGTGCCTTCTGGGAGCACCGGGCATGTCTTAAGACTAAAAAGGAAAGTGGGTGCGGGGGGGGGGTCGCTTTGCAGGATGCACCGGGGGAGCTGAGTGCCAGGCTGCCCTCCAGACTCCCAGGTCCCGGATCTGCTCCATC